TAATTAGAAAGGGAAAATCACAAACTATGCCCCCTAATATAAGTCCAAAAGCGAGGCATGAGAAACATTCAAAACCTTTTCTTGCAAAGCCTGTGAAAGGGCATCAGAGGCATTGCCTTTTCTCTCCACTTCATCGGTTAAGTCAGTCATGCCCAACTGCAAAATTAATATACAGTTTGAGATTGCATGATATAAGACCCAATGAAATAACAAATGCAGATATGCTTCAAACCCCAAGAAAGCATCCCCGCATTGCAATATCAGACCAACCACCAAACACACTGTTAGAGATTAGTATTTTTATCAAACAGAAGATTCTGAAGTCAAATACAATACTTATGTAAAAGACACAAGGCTATTACTTATTTATTTTAAAAAAAAAAAAACCCTGAAGGCACGTAACTGAAAGGTATCAGAGAGAGAGAGAGAGAGGGCCATAATCCTTCTCTTCAGCCTTGGATGCTAGTTGACACAATAAATTTCTTCAATAAAACTCTCAAAATCTCATTTATTATAAAGTGTTTTACAAAGGATTCACAATACCTATCATATTAATTGAAATGTAATAGACAACTTTCATGGTATACATTTAGATCACTCTTTCTATTCAAAATAATATGGAAAAGCATAGAAGAAAGAAAATCTAAGAACTTGGACCCAAAAAAAAAAAAAAGGGAACATCTAAGAATGAGATAATTATCAACTGATGGTCATAAACTTCATCATTAAAGCATAACTGCATTTAAATGTCAAAGTTGCCATATAATTCTAAATCAACGTAGCAGAAAACGTGCAAAGTGAAAACTATAGAGCAAGGGTAGCAAGGGAAACATTCCTTCCGCAAAAAGAATACAAGATTTGCATTGAAGCAGATAATAAGACAGAATGAAATGAGTATGAGTCTGTAGGAAGACAAGAAAAAGGATAGATTTAGACTCTCTAACAAGCTTTAAAATACCAAGTTGGCTTCAGCATCAGCACTTACATTTACACCTGGATGTTTGTACTCAGCTAATTTGACATCACAGTGAGTAAGCCCCAAATTCTGCCCTTTCATCTCGAACTGCTGAAATTTTGCTTCCACATCATCAACAATCCATTTGACATGGGATCTTCCTTCTTCAAGCAAATTTATGATTTGAATCCTATGCTGAGAAAAGCAGTGCCGTAATTCTGTAATTTTCTTTAGCATCATATTGTCTGAAGCTCTCTGTGAGCAAATCAACAAGTCAAAGATTAAAAAATAAAATATAATCAAAAAGCAAAAAGAAAGAACAAGGTAAAGCAACTTTTTATCAATTCTAAAATACTAAAGCAAACTAGTACTCACTCTTTTCTTTTCCAATTCACGAACTCTCTTCTTTAAGTGATTTTCTATCTCCAAACCCTATTATCCCACAAGAAAACATTTTTCATAAATATGAGAAGATAAAATTTGACACAAGCAAAGCAAAAATAGACCAAACCTAAAACAAAGCATACCACTCGTAATTTGTTCTGAAAATTATCCACTGAGCATCTCAACCTTTCTAGCTCTTCTTCCAGTGAACTCTGTCTGAGGGAAAGTTATTCAGGTTGCATTTTCAAAAGAAAAGCCTAGGTTCAATAAGTTAGATTTGGAAATTACAAGCATGCCATCATATTCATCATGCAACCAGAAAAAAGAACATGCATACTGCTTTTCTTTTCCAACAAGGTCCTCCAGGTAGCCATCAAGGTGGGCTAGGTTTGAGAAAATTGAGAAGATTTGTAGTTTTTTGATTATGGTAAAGTAGGGTAATCATCAATAGATGGATTAGGACTATATTTACTTAGCTTTAGGATTTAGGTGGTTTGAAGGTTAATGGAAGTCAAGGATTAGCTTTCTGAAGTTTTTCAGCACAAGTTAGTTGATGTGTTTTGAAGGCTTATTCTGTAGCACTGGATGTGAAAGCTTGCGGATTATAATATTTAGGACTCTAATAAGGTTAGCATGTGCATGTCACAACAACTTTGGAAGAAACCCAGGCCTGTGGTATTGGTCAAATATAGCTATGACAGAAAATTTACTGTAATTTAATTAAATAAAACCAACCAAAATTAACCAAGATATAGAAATGACTCTTTTTTTCCTTTTGCTCTCAGAAAACAGAAGGCACTTAAACATGATTAAACTCAATTTTTTGATGGCCAAGAGACTGAATTTTAATTTTATAAATCATCTTACCAAGCAAAAGGGTTAGATTTGAGAGAAAACCAGGACATGAAATAACAGATAATCATTTACACTGTTTAACAACATAGTCATTAAGAATTTAGATTACAGGAACGGCAAAAAAATTAATAATTACAAGTGAAATTATAGGGAGCTGAAAAAAAAAAAAGGTCTAGTGTATGATTTATGACTACAAAATTCTACAATATTAATATAATAGTTTACTAAAAGATCACTAGGCTTTTCCAAAAAAAAAAAAAAGGGGGCAAAAGGTCACCAACAACCCAATAAAGACAAGGTGCCCATATGGAAAGAATAAAGCAAAATTGTAAAGTTATGTGGACTTACAATGTATTTGGCTGTAGAAAAATCATTAAGAGTCCATGTTTCTGCAGGATTATTCAAGAGGCAAGCACATTTATCTTCCAAACTTATATCCTCCAATTCCCCAATAACTTGCTGCCTGATCCCATAAAACTTATCAATGACCTGTTTAAAAATTGCCAAAGGGAAACTATGACATAAAAATTAAAAAAAAATTAAAATAAGTGACCCACAAGAAAGAAAGGAAAAGATGATTTGAGCACTACATACACCTTAGAAAAAAAAATGTTTTACTCATCATCTACAAATGGTAGGAATTGCAAACTGAATATGATCCCTGCTATAAACTTTTGCCGAGGATAAGAGATTAAACAAAGAATTTTAAATTTGTTAGGTTGTCTATCTGTATGACTGCATCAGTCACTTTTTTAGTTTAAAACAAATGAATAATTTTGAGTCGGGATCCACTTACACACAAGTCTTTCACACCACACTTACACAAAATCTCAACCATTCATCTCTCCACTTTCAATAGATGAGATTAAAGATAATTATCTTTTTCATTGAAAAGGTCATGATAAATTTCAACCATTGAAATGGAGAGATAAATGGCTGAGATTTTGTGTAAGTGTGGTGTGTAAAACTTCTATGTAAGTGGATCCCTATTAAATAATTTTTAAGGAGTCAAATCGAAGTTAAAGTGGAGCAAACTGTAAATCAAGAGCCACTCTAGCTAGAATTGAAACTTGAAAAATGGCATCCACTCCATCTTTTTAAATAAATCTTATAAATAAGGAAAGCTCACTTGAAAATTCAAAGCAACATGTGAACCTCATTTTCTAATGCCATCTAAGAAATGACAATAACCTGCATGCATCATATGACTTTAGAACATAACCTAGCTGTTGGTTAAGAAATCATGTTAAGAAGAGAACAGAAAACACTTAAATACATACTTTCTTTAAATTATCATTTTGCTCTTGATGCCTTGCAAGTTCAATCTGAAGTGCATCATTATGTTTATTCTGCTCAACACAATCTGACATGAGCTCTTCTAACCTGTTCACCAATTCATTCCCACATAAATATGTCACCTCCTTTTATCCAATGGCACCATATGTAGAGCAAAAAGCAGCAAAGAGATCAAGATCACTTTAATATGATGTCCAGAACCACCAAATATTCAATGTAAGACATATTATTAGTGAAAGATTTTAAGATGCAAAACATTGGTATATAATCTCAACTGCTTAAACAAACACGATAGAGAAGCCTAACAGATTAAAACATCTACCCACAGTCTGACACAAGCAGAGGAACAATGCTAGAAAATGGAAAGCTTCAAAAAAAAAAAAAAAAAAAAAAAAACCACCTAAAGAACAGAAGACAATGGGAATTGCACAGTGATGGAGTAGCTAACAAGGAAGAGAAAATACCAAATACTACAGAAAGAGTATAAAATTCTGCGGCAGATTTAAATCCCACTATGTCAGCAAAATCCCTTTTTTGTTCATGGCTTCATGCAAGTAGTTAATGCAAGCTGAATGAATGCATGATGCTTCTAAAATACCTGTTCTGAACCTCAATTAATTTCTGAGACATGAGTTCCTCCTTCTCCTTAGCCTTCTCAGCCTGGAAAAAAAATATCTGAGTATGTCTACATACAACAATGTAAAAACTAAAAATATAAATTTCTTACCCAAATTTGTACATTTATTATGTGGTTCATATTTCCTTACACAAACTTTTAGACTTAATGTTATTACATTATCATGCATGTCAAGTTTAGAGCTCATGGAATGTGTATTTATTTTGTTCAATGCATATAAATTTTCAATGATTAAATATATGCTGTGAAAGTCAAATTGAATTGACCTAGATGTCACATGTACGTGAAGCTCGATGTGCATTAAGAATGTTAAAACTTCAGAGATAAGCCATCATTCCACGTATCACAATGTAAATCTAATAGCATAGATGAGCTTTACAAGAGTTAAAGAGTGTTATAAGATCAGGCATAAATTAAATCAGAGTAAACAATCCTTTGTTCCAACAAAATTAAGTCCATCACTTAAAGCATTTGCTTAAATTAATGTTTGCAATAACCTCCATTGTCGACTGATCCCGTTCAGAAAAAGCAGCCGCCACACAACCTTGGAAAAACTTAAGCTGCTTCTCCAATTCAATATTCTGGATAAATAAAGCAAAAACAACTCAGACCACTTAAGATATTTGAATTCAGTTAAAATTTATCTTCATTTAGTAAGGAACCAGAACAAGACCTTCAAGAAATAAAAGCCTCTCAAGAAAAAAAATTATTCTGTAGTTCCACTTTTACTCAGTCATGCATAATGCTAAGCTAATATCTCAATATTTATATTGTAAAAGTTTAAGAGGATTTAGTAGACAAAGCTCATCATGCAATTAGATACCTTTGCAGCCTCTGTACCATGTAGATCTGCCAGTTGACCCTGCAGACAATAAAAAAATAATATAAGGTCAGAAAAGGGATTTAAAAGGTGAAGTAACATGATTGAATTGCAAAAATTACTTTAATTCGATAAGCCTCTGAAAGCTCTTCCTGAAGATTTTGGTTATCCCTTGTGCAAGCAGCTAACTTCTTTTTCAAATCATCGATCTCCTGCTCCAAGCCAGCTGTCCTGGTAGGGCATAAATTTCTGACTGAGAACCCAAACCACCCACTACCCAAAAAGAAGAAAACAAAAATTGACAAAACCTGATTTTAGAGAGGAAAGTTTTATACCTTTGAAAATGCATTCGAGTAGCCACGGCAAGGTAGCTTGGGCCTGCTTGCTGAATACACAACTGCTCAATGTCTTTGCGCAGCTCATCACGCTCTACACAAAATAATTTAAAACACACCTTCCTTTAGAACGAATGCATACAGATCTTAACATATGCACAAATTTATAACATGTACTTCAATTATGCACCAAATTGCAGTAAACTAAAAAACTACACTTGACCTAGTGGCTAGCGCCATCATGCCTACTGCCTCAGTAAGGAAGAGAACTCCATGATTCAATATCTTACACCCTTTTAGCCTACCAGAAAACATTTCTACCAAATTTCATTCCTTTCCACTTCTACATGAACCAAGACAATACACCATAGCCCCATTCCTTTTTCATGCAACTTGTCAACAAAAGCAACTACTTTTCCAACTGAATCTTGTCATAAACCTCAATTGAAAAAACAAAACAAGTAAAGCACATCACTTAAAATGAAATCAAGAGGAAAACAGAAGAACCCTTATTTCCAAATAAAACCAAGAACCGATGAAAATATAAGAATCACTAAAAACCCAAGAAGGAAATCTGAACTAGGGATTCAGAAGATTTGTTGGAGAACGACGTACCGTGTTCCAAGTGTTGGATCCGAGCTAGCAACGACTGTTTTTCATTGGTTAAATTCTCGTCCATTTGGGGGAAACGTAATATAGAATTCAGAAGAGTTGATGTTTGGTTGAGCAGAAATGGAATTGAGGAACAAGGAAGGAAGAAGTTAATTATTTTTCTCCAGAGAAGAAGGAGAAGAAAACGTGTCTCTGTAGTCTCTCCCGTTCTTTCTTTCCCCAACTGTTGGATCCTCTGCCGTTTTGGCTTCACGTCAATAAAAATAAATAAACAGATTCCAAATCAACATCTGTATCATAGAATTCGTTTCTCAATTTCAGATTTTTATTGTACAATTTTAATTGTGAAGATGTTATTTATCAATCTTAAATCTTAAAAATTAAAAGAAAAATCATTTCAAAATTAAATCATTTCAATAAATTTTTATTGAAAAAGATTAAATCATTTTATTTTTAAAGTATATACTAAAATAATTTTTTTTTCTTTAATTTTTTTTGAAGGTAAAGCGCACTAACCCTTTTAATTATATAATAAATTTAAAAAAAAAACATAACTTTTATTTAAATTTTATATGGGACAATCTCTTAATAAATTTTTTTTATTGATTAAGAATTTAAAATTTTATATTAAAAATATCAAAATTAATTTTAAAATGAGTAGTAAAGGATTTAAACATACGAGAGATATCCTTGTTGCTTATATAATTGTTGTATAGTAAATTATTAAGAGAATTAATAATAAAATGATAAATTTTTTGAAGTATCAAATTATAATTATTTTGTTATATATAACAGTGATAACATTAGTACATGATTACATTACATATATTTTCAAAATTTTGAAATGAATATGGCTATCTAAAGTGAGATGGTATCACACGTTACATGAAAGATCTCCTTACTGCATTGTCTACGAGATTGTGAAGGCTCGAGAAGACTATGGAGGAAATGGATTGGCGATAATCTTTGGCAACACTGGCAGCAAATGAACCATGCTGAGTGAACAAATGTCAAGGTTGAACAAGGCTTACCATGAGACATCGCCTTTGCTGCCATTTGCTGGTTCATATGGCTAGCTCGTAATATGGCAGTTTTTGAAGGTGATAGAGAGTGGATAGTTGAAAAGAAAGCAATGCTAAGATTTCATTTTGCAGAAGTTGCTTATTTTTTGAATAGGAATTCACCCATTGGAACTATACAATATGAACAGCTTGTTGGGTGGGAAAAACCTCCTCCAGGGTATGTAAAGATCAATGTGGATGGCTCAGCTAGGGGGATGCCAAGAGTCTCTGCAGCAGGTGGTGTGTGTCGAAACTCCAATGGGGACTGTTGTTTTGGATTTACACAACAATTGAGTACGGGCTATGATATACGTGCGGAGTTATATGCTTTATGGAAGGGTTTGCAATTGGCTTAGGAAAAAGGATACAAGAAAGTAATCAAAGAAACAGACTCTTTACTAGCCAAACAAAAATTGGAACAACATCATGGTGTTGCAAACTCATTCTCCATGCTTTGTAAAGGGTGCACTGAGTTGTTGAACCGAGATTGGGAATGCGAGTTAAGACATGTCTTTGGTGAAGCAAACTCATGTGCAAATGTTATGGCTTCATCCTTCTATCATTCGGAGTCAAGATTATACTACCTTGAGGAACTCTCAAATGAAGTTAGGACTATTTTTAGAGAGAATTTAGAGTGTAAATTTAAAACTTTTTATTTATTCAGTAATTAAAGTATTGTCTTATATATCAAAATAAAAATAAAAAATAAAAAAAATAAAAAAAAGGGAGATCACCTTATTATTTGTCTGTCCTTTTTCTTTATCTCGGTTTTTATTAAAAAGGGCATAACCATTTCTCCTCTAACCTTCTAAATTTCTTATTGATGAAATATGCTTAACTTCATTGATTATTACAAAAAATTTTTTTAGCAAAAATGATGCAGCTGCAGTTCTTCCCTTACCATGATATAACATCAAATGAATGGTTATTCACACTTTTTAACGTGGAGACACATAAACTAATATATGTTTGACGTTAAACAAGCAAGCGCCAGTTTAAAATTTTCACAAAGAACAGGAAAGAAACATCAGCAATCAAATAATTCTGGAACTTATGACAGAACATGAATGAATAGCTAGGTAAAAAGAGGCACCTAGATCAAATTAAGTTATAAAAACCATCATAAACTTGATAAATCATTTATTAACTATTGATACTTTTTCCACCTAACACAATTTTGTTAGATAAATTGATAGAAGTCTATGTCATCACTTACATGGTGCAGACAAGTTACAATCTAAGCAATATGTGGCTTGAATAATTTTATTTATTTTTTTATTTTAATTGAGTTTTGATTAAATTAAATTAAATTATAATTTAATTATAGAAGACTAAAGTGCAGTCCATCTTGTGTGAACTGCATTTCTTATAAACATTGATAAGAGGTGAGACCCCTGATATTGGGGGTTCACCCCTTCATCAATGACAAAGTAATGCAGAATCTAGAAAATTGCCCAGGAAAAACCGTAGGGATGAAGTCCAACATTTGAAATTATAATAAAAGAATGGCGTCTACTGAAGCAACCCCACAAGAAGTTCTTTTTAAAGAAAAGTTTGCAAGGCCTCAACCACATCTACGGGTGAGTTTATTTGACTTTGTATGCCACAAAAAAAAAAATTTCCAGGCAGGGATAACTGCCCCTTGTTTTTGCCGTTCTGTCTGTTTCCATCAAGCTTGAGGCCCCTGCATGTTTTCACAAACAATAAGTACATATGAGAGCAGTAACAAACAGTGCAATAATAAGCAAAGTCAAAGTGCAAGAAATGGCTGTTTTCTGCTGCTATCATAGACTTATCAATCTAGAATATGTATACTGTGTTCTTGAGAAGAACTGATATGGAAGATGTATCAAATATATCCTGTTGCATCTTCAACATATACCATACATATGACTCAGATCTAGGATCTTATTTTGGAGTCACAGCCATACCACTGTATGAAATCAACTTAAACATGACACAGAAATTATTACTCTTGTCCTCCTAGCAGCCTTCACAACTTCTAATGCAATTTGTAGTTTGCAAAGCAACCACTGGATACATGGGCAGATCAGTTGAGGACAGTGAAAGCAATCCAGAGTAGGGACAGTGAAAGCAACAGCTCCCACTGGATAAACCTTTAAAAGTTTAATAGTATCATTTTAAAAATTGTCACTAAATTTATGTAAAATTGTAAACCTTTCCTGTTTTTCTCCCACAAATTCTTTTATGGATTTGCCCCCACAAAACAAAATTTTTGAATACATGCCTGACTGGATATAATATTCCACCAATGTGAATCATGCATTGTATGCATTTCAAGTTCATAACAAGTATCCCATCTATGAAGCATTCCAAGTTCAACATATCTGCATGTCTTAATTATGATGGAAAATATATGATTTGGTTGGCATAGTCAATCAACTTAGAATTTGACCTACATAACTACATATATAACTATTAAACTGAATTGTTGTTTAATATTAGATTGTTCATATAATTTTATGTAGCATCGAACCAACAACTGTTTCACCAAATTTGAGTTGACATAAATTTAAACTTACCATCTACTGTGACAGAAAAAAATAAGATAGTAAAACAAAGCCAAATAGATTTACCATCTTTGCACTTTTTCTCGCCTCCAGCTCAATCATTGCTTCTTCTGCTAAGGCTTGTGCTCTTGCAGCTTCAGCTTCCGCCTCATCTGCCTCCCTTGCAGCTTGCTCAGCCGCTGCTATTGCAGCTTCAGCCTCTGCCATAGCTTTAGCAGCGGCAGCAGCAGCCTCCTGTGGAGTCATAGTCCGCATCTTGGCTAATTCCAACTCTATCTCCTCCATTGTAGGGATAACAATATCATCGATCTCAACTCTAGGAGAGGCAGGTTGTCTTTCCTCTGAAAGTAACATGGCAGGGTTTGTCCTCTGTGGATATGGGAGAACAGGTGCAATACGATACTTACGTTTAACCTACAACACAAATGATATTCAATAGAACATTTAATCAACACACCTAACCACATCTAGAATGAGTTCCAAAACAAAAACTAATTACATCATAACATTAAAACACACAACATTTACAGGCATTTAAAGTCCTGAAGCTGAAAATTTGGAAATTTTGTGAAGTGCTGTGCAAGCTATCATTGAGAGATTTTTACCATAGAGGCAAAGTATTACACACACTATAAAAATAAAGTTCATTTATACAAATAAATACATTAATGCTTGATACAGAAAAACCATTAATATATTTAATTTCAAACAGACACAATTCAGTCTGAAATAGCAAACAGAGCAAAGTATTACTAGGTTGCATGAAACAGAAATTGATCTAAGAAAGCCTGACTCCAATTCTCACTTTAACTAAAACATGCCTATATCAGACACATGAATCAGCACAGAGAGACAATAAATGACTTGCGAGCCTCCAAATAATACACCGGAAAACGTATGAACATAGACAACAGTTCAATAAATGAAGATAGACAAGGTAGTCAGAGTACGAGGTAGTAAATCAGAATTCAGAGGAAAAAAAAAAAAAAAACTAATCCCTCATAACATTATTATCCCTAAAGAGTAACAGATGAGTAAATCCAAATTTCATACCTGTGCCAAAGCCAAATATTGAAAAAAATATTAGAGAACTAAGCAGACTAGAAAGAAAAGAAACACAAAAGAGACAGAGACAGAAAGAGAGTGAGATTAATCTGGGAGCTCACCAAACACAGAAAAGCAACGTAGGGTTTTTCCTCTCTTGCGTAAAACCCCTTTGACAATTTAACAAAATGAGGAACCCTAGCACTAAGAACATCTATGCTTATCTTTTTCTTGCTCAGCTTATGGTTTATTTTCCAAATAAGCAAGTTGCAAAAAAGCTATTTTCCTTAATTGCCAAACATGTCTCCAATGCCAAAATATCATATAAGCTAACTTTGACCAAAAAAATGAGCATACCTTAACATGCATAAACCAGATTTCACCTTCCTCTCCAGCCCACCAAACCAAGCCCATGTTATCATATTACAGTATTACCCAATGTTGGGTCAACGAAACCATTGCTTCTGTTTGAGTTCGGCCCACATCACAAGCATTTAATAAAACTTAACACACCACCTTTGTGTTGATTTAAGGTATATACACATTTAGACTAAGCTGTCTACTTTGGTTAACTAGCAGTAAAGTTGGGAACAGTACAGACCATCTAGCAATCATAGTAGCACACAAAATTTCAACTAGTACCTTATACCTATTTAAAATTCTCAACTGTCCTTGAACAACTATAACGGAGAGTACATGCAAACTCAACAAAACATCATGAAATGACATGTGTAGGTGCCTCCTTCCAGACATGTCAAATTTAAAGAAATAGCCTTAAATACGCTCTACCATTGACTAAAATTGTTATCACCAAAGATTAGTTCAATTAACACCAAAAACCTGGCACCAGATCCCACACGTGCAGCATAAATTACCTTAATCAATTTGCCACAGGTTGTTAAATACTTCAATTTGGCTGACAAGATTCTCTTAAAGTCTGTAGGTGCCCAATATTTATCCTGTAAAATAGATAAAATGTATGATCGTCAGGTTCAGACATTAATTTATAAAAAGGGAAAATCACATTTCCATATATGCGATAATTCTTATAATTGGATACATGGCAACTTTCATACATTAATTTTTAAACGGCCCAGGCACAATTGGGAAGCCCAACAATTGATAGCGAAACATCTATTACCTTTGTTGCGATACATACGACCAAACATGTTTTTGCTATCAAAAAATATAGGCATAAGTTGTCATTACTAGACAATGAGGTGGAGAATCATATCGTTTAATTATCAAATTCAAAAAACATAATTAAAAGAATTTTGATTTCAGGGTAATATTCAAAAGAAGGGGAAGGAGTAGTAAGAGAGGTGTGCCATCAAATTGAAAATAAATTTTGATGCTTTATAACATTGATCCCTATCTAATTTATGGTGTTATGTAGAACTCCAGGTACTTGAAGCTTTCAGGTGGCAGGTGTATTTGGATACATTCCATTCTCTCTATTTTCTGTTTTCAATGCCAAAAATCTGGCAATGAAACAAAAAATTGTGTTTGGTAACGTATCCAACTTTCTAAAAAGTTTCAAAAAATTTCCAATATTAGTGGAAACAAAGTCATGTTTCAATATTTACAGAAATAAACCCAAGACATGTATCACCATTCTTCACTAAAATTATATTGCACTCAAACATCACTTTTCCTAATTTTTTCCTCTTGAAATTATAAGAGAAATTTGAATTAACATTTATGTTGCTCTTTGTTAAAATCAAAAACAAAAGGCAAAACTGACAACAACTTCACTGCTCAAAATTCGGTCTTAAACCATATGTATACATCATATGACCAAACGGATAAAAGTCTTTTTTGCAGGACTAGTTTCCACTTTTCTCCAGATTCATCACATATAGAGATGCTCATCAACCATTTGAAGTTCAGCTCGCACAAGCTCAATTGGGATTGTCAATTAACCTTAGATAGCAAACATGAACACGAACTTGAACTTAAGTTTCAAGCTCCTTTATGAAGCAAACCAATCTCAGACAGGAGGGAGCTTAATAAACAGAAAACATGACATGTTCACAACCAATGCTTGCTAAAGACTCAATTATAGGCTCACTCATTTTCTTACATATGAGTTTACTTGATTTACAAATTCTGGCATTCTATTGGAACCTTTGAAAACTTAGTTATACTTTTCCTTGGAATGTTGTAGAGCTTTAACATCTTGATGAGCCCAAGCTTGATTAATGAAATACCTAACTTAAGCTCAAGCTCTTTCAGCTATAAATAAGATTCTTGTGAACAACGTTTGAATTGGACAATATTTAAGCAAGCTCGAGCTGACTCTATGCTCAAATCGAACAAAAGCTGAGATTGGAACTAGCAGAAAACAAGGTGACATCGAGCCTAGGGGAAGTCTTGGCCCACCTATGGCCCTAATAGAGAAAAAAGAGCTTCAAAGACAGTACTTCTAGATCCAAAGACATGATTAAATTAGTTAAAGCTTATATCACATGCACAAAAGGCCAAAAAAAGAGGGATTTCAAATAACTATCGCAAAAAATAATCTAAGAAAATAATAAATTTATACCAAGGTTCAAAAATGGATATTATACCATTAAACCTAGTACCTCAGCAGAAATTATGTTTACAATATGATAATTATTACACTAGGAATTAGTTTATCAGGTAAAGCTTTTATTCTTTCAAAATATCCTAAATTATCAATAGGCTTTACAATATCAAACAAAGTTTATATTCTTTCAAATTTCTAATTTAGACATATGACTAATTTGACCAGCAATATCAAATTTTTAGAATATTTTCATTCTCAAAAGAATCTATATTTGGTTTATTATCTTCTTGGCTTAGACTATACCTTTGCTAGGTTTCCATGGATAGTTTTATAATGACATGACTAGAATACTGAAAATAATGAATACGTAGAAAATCATCCACAACATTTTGACCAAAGCAATGAAAATAATAAATTGATACATAAAGGGACACAAAATTTGAAAGTAGATTGGGAGAGCTTATAGCATTACAGTTTACAAGTAGTGACGGAGCTAAGGGGGCCTGGGGTCCCAAACCCCTTAAACTTTTGAGAAGTTGTTAATTAAGTCCATTATTTTTTTATATCCTTAAATTCTTAATTTATTTCATACCATTGCCCATTTCTTAATCAATGCTTCATTTTAGCCACCTAAAAATATTCCAGCTCCTCCACTATTTACTAGTCATTCTGTAGATAGATAGATAGATAGATAGATAGATAGATAGATAGATAGATAGAGAGAGAGCGAGAGAGAGAGAAAGAGAGAGAGAGAGAGAATGATTGGTGTTGAAAATAAGCTGTTTTCATTCTGTGTAGAACTGTAGACGTTTTGATGTCTACTGCTGATGAGGTTCTCAATTATCTTCTTCTTCTCTTTCTTTCTTTTTTCTTTTGGCAGATTAGTTGCCCGAATGCCAGTTCCATTTGGTTATGCATATTGCTCAGGAACCATGGGATAAAAAATAGGAACCACTAGTCTAGTGCTTTTATACCAAGGTCCATTTCATCTTAATAAAATTAAATTCCAAAGCAGTTAGCAAAGCTTCCTAACAAGCATCAACATAGAAAATAAATGATACATGTATGTATGTAACCATTAGGACACCACACTCAGTTCTTATATTTGTATTTATAAAAATCCTCTTTTCTCAGTTCATTATACAGTCCTCAGACTGTGGTAATATAAGAATAATAAAAAATTGAATGTCAAATATTTGTTTTGCAAAAAAGAAAAAAAAAATGAAAAAGACTACCTCTATGTATGCTGCAATAGTTGTCTTATTAGAACCACCAGGCTCTTTCAAGCTTGTTACAGCCTCGATAACGAGGTTATCCAACCTGTTATGAAAAGAAAGAATAACATCATATGTTAAAACTCAAAATCATAAAAAACAAAAGTGCAAGCAATTGTTGTTTTATTTCAGGATATGGCTAACCAAGAAGGCAACAATGAAGTTTGGTATATGCAATTGATTATAAAAATATGACATTGAGCATGTGTAAAGAATTTGAAAGAGCTGCTAGTGCTCTGGCTTAAAAATAAGCTAACAAGAAGCATGTGCATATGCATAAGCATTGGAAATTCTGCTAGGACAGACCATTTAGTCAAGCACAATAGAACTACAACCCAATGATGCTACCATCATGTGGTTCAAATTTCAAAAGTTCAATTATTACAGATTTCAGAAGAATACTCTTCCAGCCACTATAGGAATGCAGAAAAGTAATGAAAGTTACAAAGCACTTTGGAATAGCATGATCAAGATTCCAGATTTATGTACAAAATTATCAGCTAGAATAACAAGATTAACAATCTTCAAACACCAAGGTTAAGTAGTTAACAACTTAACATGGTTCAATATCAAAAGAGGGAATTGTCTTAACCTCACAATAGATCTCTTGGGAACAATTGGAATCGGTTGGGCACTACTAGAAGCTGCAAGAGCCTTAACATCTGCAAATTCTTCATCACTTGGTATACGAGAACTTTGGCCCATTGTAGTATCCTCCTGCTTAGGCACAGTCAGGGTCCTCTTAACAGCCAATCTCGCTTTGTCCCGAGAACCCCATCCATTTGCCATCACACTCATATTTCTCCACTTATCCTACCAAGCATCAAAACCACATAAATCAATCAATACAAAAACCGCTAAAGACCCTTCAACAAAAGGGG